GGGGCTGCTCCACTACTCAGTTCTTTCCCTTGAGAAGGTAAGATCCTGGAGCAAACACAAACACTGTCCTTCCCCTCAGAAGCACCGCATTTCTTAGGACCCATCCTGAAAAAGGGTTATAAAACCGCAGGGGTGACCAAAGGTGTGGATGAAAAAGCGCGTTCTTCCTGTCTCTAAGTTTGCCTGCCTAGCTCCAGAAGGACTGAGCCAATGAAGCTAAGTACCGATGAATAAAACATTAGAAAAGTGGAGAACTCGAACTGTGTTGTAATAAACTGAGAGTTACGAGGCAGGGGTTCTAGTCCTGGCTCTTCTATGAACACTGGTGTTGGCTTTTGACAAGAACTTTACCCCGCTAAATTTATAAAAGGAAGATGCTGAACCAGCCCTTGTCTAAGGCTACAATATTCTAATTTTCTATGATTCTAGGTAGACTCCAATTGCAGGAGAAGAGACATGAGGACCTGAAGATACACTGAACTTCGAGAAACAACATACAATTTTTTTTAATACTATAGGAACGTGCCCTATTTAAAGGGACATCAGTCCATGCTATGATTTAGATTTTTGTTTATACATATATTTCTTATAAGAGGATATACCCAGTGAACAAAAAGGACACACACAGCAATTACCAATTTTAAGAAATGGGAAAAGGAGTAGGAAGGAGCCAACTTTTTCAACTTAATCCATAGACTTTCTGCTGCCCCACTTAAGATGGTCATTGTAATATATGTGGCCATTTGAAATTTAATAAGTTATTATTAAGAACTGGAGGGGATGCCGGGGTGGCTCAGTTGGTTAAGCATCCAACTCCTCTGATTTCGGCTCAGGCTCACGTTCATGAGATGGAGCCCCATGTCTGGCTCTGTGCTGGGAGTGGAGGCTGCTTGGGATTCTCTCTCCCCCTCTGCCTCTCCCTTGCTTACTTGTGTGCTTTTCCCTCTTTCTCTCTCTCTCCCTCTAAAAAAAAAAAGACTTCAATAGGCTTAAGAAAATAAAAAGAAAACCAAGAACAAAGGCATTCAGGTGAGTTCAAGTTTCTCAGAATACCTATTTGGTTTTGAATATACACATATAAAAAAGCTTGGAACACCCTACTAACAGTGGTCACCTGTTTGGGGGACAGGGAGTTGAGCAGATGAAGGAGAGATGTAAAGGGGAGACTTTTTACTGAGTATCTTTAATTGACTTTTTAACCATGTAGGTAAATAGCTTATTTTTATTTAAAAATCAAATAAATAAATAAACGAGACATTAGAACAAAGTACCATGAGGCAAAGAAAATGTTGTAGCACTTGAAGGCCTGAGGAAACTCAAAGAGAGGATAATCTAGACTGTTTCCAGGGACCAGCTGGGAAAGTCAGTGAAATGCAACATGGACAACACTGTTGAGGGCCTCAAGCAGCTCAAAGCACTGGCTGGTACAAGAGTATCTTGAAAAATATGACACACGGGTTTATGTCCCTGAGTCCCTGGAAGAGTGTGAAACCCACAGGGGATAAAATGAGAACCCTACCAACGGGGAAGTAGCTTTCCTTCACCCTCTAAATTAGAGGGAAGGGAGTGAGACACCAGTGTCAATAAGAGCCATAAAAATGAGTAATTGGGTGGAAGAGGAGACCTATGAGGAAAAGGGAAAGAAATCCACATTTACCACTTAGCAAAGAAATTCTATTTTACGAGAGTATTTAAGGCAGCCCCTGAAAAACAAACACAAGGGAATGTCCTCTTAAAGTCATTTCTACTCTCAGTATTTTTTGATTTGTGGGTTAGTTCTCAGTGTGCTTCCTTGTAGAGGAGACCTTGCTAATTTGGCCTAGTGAAAGGCCTAGTTAATAAGAAGTATTAGTAATGCCTGGGAAGACCTACAAAGAAACGTGAGCAAGCATATTATTAATCAACTAAAAAAATCCCTCACTTTGGGGTGCCTGGCTGGCTCAGTCGGTAGAGCACGTGACTCTTGATCTTGGGGTTGTAAGTTTGAGCCCCTTGTTGGGAAGGGAGATTCCTTAAAAATAAAAATCTTAAAAGAAAAAAATCCTTTGCTTAAAAGTACAATTAATCCTTCTGAAGTGCTACTGATGTTCTTTCTTGTCATGAGTGTTAGTCTGTTTGCTTTCTGATAATCTTAAGCTATGCGTTTATGTTTTATGAGCTTTTCTGAATGGTGGTATATTTCACGATAAAGAAAATGATTACCAAAAAAATACATATATATACTATTAAAGCTATCCTTTCCACAAACTATATACCCTTGTGGTGAGGCCAACGGCTGAAGTCAGGCTGTCTATCATGAAGAGCCAATCTCCTAATGGAGCTCCATCAACATCTGTCCTACCCAAGGAATGACACCCATCAGGGCCAGAGACCCACTCTCTCTGAGGCCTCACTCCCAATCCAGGGGCACTGAAATCTGAGTTTCAGATTTTCTTCTATAGATAGAAGAAAAAAGGCTATCTACAGGGCAGAAACCAGGGGAAAGGCATGCAAAGGAAAACTGAGCTCTATCTATGTACTTTTCATATATTAAGTCGGGCTTAAGAAAGGGAGATTTAATTTGCATTTGAGTTGGAAAAATAACTAGTTCAAACAAAAGCAAAATGGGTTTGGCCGCCTGTAAGGCCAGGGTCCAAAGGGCTTTACGTATCTACTTACTGCTGTAAGAGTACTTTCTGAAAAAGTTACACCATTGGCCAACTCACCTAAATAAGCACGACCTAAACCCTGTGATTTGTCATTGCTTTGTACCTCTACAAAGATCATGGATGCAAGGGTAGAAAAGTGTCAGAAAACATTTCTAAAAATATTTCAAAATTTTACAACGAATGAAATTTTCTTCTAAAAATAGCCCAAAATTCCATGTTCCCTTATTCACTAACCCAGAAAGCTAAAGCCTGCCTCCTCCCTCACCCATTCACCCCACTTGGCAAAGACTCAGATTACAAAATCAGACATAGAAGAAGGGAAGAGTAACTGACGAAATCAATGAACGTTTATGAAAACTACTCAGCTCCAGAACTTGAGATCTGAAGAAGTCCTCAGAAAGTCTGTCCAACCTCTCAGGTCTAGATGAGAAAATTTAGGCCCAGAGAGGTGACACATCTTGCTTAAAAGGACATGAACTAGTTTTGGGAAGTTATTTTATTTACAATTTGCTTTTCGCATAAACTCTGTGGCAGCGTGAACAATACACATTCGACAAAAGGGAAATATAGATCAGAAACATGGCGAATTACAGTAGAGTCAGGATTTCTTCTTTCTGGTTGATTGTTATTTACATCATATCATGCTTTGTTTTTTAAACTTTCTATATTTCCCAGTGGAAGATATGGGCTACTGTTGCCACTTTTCTCTGTCATGGAGCTGTCCTGAGCTGCAACAGAAGTGAGTGTGCAAAGGGCTGTCTTGTGTAGACGTCTTAATTGCCTTTGCCATTCTGAGCCAAAAATGCCTCCACAACTACAGCTAGGTCGAGATCAACTGGTATCATCCTACTTCTGTCTCATTATTAAGCCAAGAAACTAAAATTTCTTCCAAATTATGAGCCTGAAGGGCAATTTAGTTAAGGGAAGCTTATGGGGTAGGTTTGATACTACAGACAGTTGAGTTAAGCTTTATATTTGTGAATATGTAATCACACACAGACTTTTCTCTCCTCATTTGGAAACATTCTCACTCTAATATTTTTTTAATGTATTTTATTTATTTCTGAGAGAGAGAAGAGAGACAGCGTGAGCAGGGCAGGGTCAGAGAGAGAGGGAGATACAGAATCTGAAACAGGCTCCAGGCTCTGAGATGGCTGTAAGTACAAAGCCCAGCGTGGGGCTCAAACCCACAAACCGCGAGATCATGACCTGAGATGAAGTCAGACACTTAACCGACTGAGCCACCCAGGCACCCCTCTCAATCTAATTCTTTAAGTGACATTTGTCACATGAGGTAGCCCTAGAGTGGTGTCCTCAGTACACAATGGCTAGGTAGTTGGCTGGTGGATTAACCAGAGGGCTTTGCTTCTCCACCTGTTACCTTGCTTCAAACAATCAAGAGAAAGAAATCTATGGTTTGGTCAAATATTTGTTAGAGGAGTTTGAAACTCTTGGCCAAATGAAGATGAGTATTTCACTTGTGTTACTACGAGCAAGAATAACAGAACTGGCTCTAGGGTAAGAATGAGTGTTGGTTCAAGCCAGACAACTGAGTAACAAGGCCAAAGGCCTGGTCTCCTCACCAGCCCAGTGTGGTTTACCCCCTTAGATTCCCGTCTGTAGCAGCTAAGATCTAATGTCACCACAGGACAGAGGAAGTTCTGATAAAGTACATATCCATCATCTCCTTTTCTAAAACAAATTTTTTTTTACATTTATTATTGAGAGACAGAGAGAGACAGAGCACGAGTGGGGGAGGGTCAGAGAGAGAGGGAGACACAGAATCTGAAGCAGGCCCCAGGCTCTGAGCAGTCAGCACAGAACCCGACATGAACCTACGAATCGTGAGATCATGAGCTGAGCTGAAGTCGGAGGCTTAACCGACTGAGCCACGCAGGCGCCGCGCATCATCTCCTTCGTAACAGTAGGATTTGTGGATATTGTGACAGTTACACTATCTTTACATTTAAAGACGGAATTCTGCGTGTGTGTGGGGGAGAGACATTTCACCCGGCTCTCATCTTTCACTATGCCCTCTTTCTTGGACTCTGTTAAATAGTCCCATTTCATTCATATTCTCTTTTGTTTTTGTATCTGTTTTAATCTTTTTCTGATCTGGCCTGGAGCCAAAAACGGAAGTCTTATTAACAGACCCGAGGAGCGTCAAGCTCCACAAATGACCCCCAGCGGCAATTACACTGAACCGGAAACAAACCCCGGGAACCGGAACTGAAACGAAAGGTTAACTACTTATCCAAACTCTGGCAAAGGGACGGTTCTTCCTCCCCCGTCTCCCCTACGCCTGCTGGGAAAGGGGGGTCTGAAGCCGCACCGCCGCCTCCTCCAACTCACTTTCTGCGTCAAATAGTATGGGTCAAAGTCCTCCAGGGGAACCGCGACCAGGCCTTGCGGGATGTCCCCATAGATGAAAGGCAAACTCTTCCCCGCCTCCAGGTCACTGTTCGGCTTGGGCTTGCTGTCCTCATCGTCTTCCCGATGACTGCCTTCGGCCTTCGGCGGCTTCTTGAGCTTGCTCTCGGCGATGCGCCTCTCGATGTTTGCCAGTGACTCAGGGGTGAAAGGCTTGAAACTATCAGGGCCTGGTGGTGCGAGCAGCCGCGCTGCCATCTTCTCATCCTGCAGCAGCTTCGTTAGTTATGCTGCGTCCGGGACAGGTCAGCTCTGGAAGGAATGGCAACACAGACAGCAGTAATCAATCGCTGCTCTGAAAAGAGGCCAGACCAAACCATCTCACTCTCGACCTTAATTCACAACCTCTGCAACACAGAGTTTCTTGCATGACAAGGGTGTTTTCCTCGGGAAATCTGTGGCGTGAGTGATGCTCATACTTCCCCCCCTTCCCCCCCCCCCCCAAGGGGAATGGTCGGCCAGGGAGCTCCAAAGAGGGAGGCTCCTAAGTTGCTAGTTTTTATTTCTTACTTACACGCAACTCACCTTTGTAACCACACACAACTGCAAAGATACATTCCACAGCCTCAACCAACTTCTATTCTCAACTAGGAAGGCACAGGGGCGCCTGGGTGGCTCAGTCGGTTAAGTGTTCGGCTTCAGTTCAGGTCATGATCTCATGCCCCATGTCGGGCTCTGTGCTGACAGCTCGGATCCTGGAGCCTGCTTGGGATTCTGTTTCCCTCCCTCTCTGCCCCTCCCCCTGTCATTATCTGTCTCTCTCTCTCTCTCTCTCTCAAAAATAAAGACTGAAAAAATTAAAAAACAAAAACAATAAACTAGTAATGTATATTTAACATGACCCAGGGGAATGTGTGAGCTTTGGAATCCCCATATGCTCAAGTTACCTTCCTTTCCTGGAACTCTGCTCCGTAGAGAGAGACTCTGCCTTCCAATGACAACAAAAGGGCAGACTGTCACTCTTTTCAGAGTTCAGTTTCTGAAAACTCTAAACCCTTCAAAACTTTGCAGGCACAAAATACAGACAAAATAGCTTCCATCTGCTTTGGCTCTTGCATTTCAAGTTATTGTTCAATTCATCAAGTTGTGTGAAATCCATCCGGTATGAAAGTCCAGAAGTGCCTTCTTTGATGACCAAGATCCTGCCAGGGACAACTGGGGGCGGGAGTGGAGGGAGTAACTAGCGGAAGAATCTCAGAGGACTTACTCTGAAACGACAGCACTGCAGCGCCACAGGGTGAATGATGGCGAAAGGCCTGCGTGCAGCCCAGAGGGGCTCAAGCCGGAAAGGGCGGAAGTGAGAGCTGTTCTAACCAAGTTTTCCTTCTAAAAGGAAAAATGAAGTGGTGCCATACTAGAGCCAGTGACTTCTAAGTATGGATTTGAAATGCCCGTTTCCACGTTCATACAGAGTCCTGGGTTATTTAAAACAGGGGAATCCCTAACATCAAAAGCACTAGTGTTTGGTGCCTGTAACAAAAGGGCCTGAGCAGGTGAGTCTTCCCACGAAGGCTTTAGGGTTTTATCCGCATTTCATCTGGTACTCCTGGTGCTGCTTTCTCCCTTTAGTTTTGTGAGCAACACAAAGACAATCCGGGAGATTTTTTTAAAAAGGCTAAAGATTGTTCTTTCCCTCCTACTTAGCCCTCAGGGTCCACTTCAAGGCAAGTATCCATAAAACTCAAGGCTCCTCAAGAGAACAGTAGTAGAGTTAACTCTAAATAATTTGAGAGTGAAATACCCAAGGGCTCCTTTCATAAACACACCCGCAGAGATCCCGGATTTCTCTAGTGGTGGTGATTGCTAAGTGTTGCAAAGGCAGTGTGTAGTGTCTATACATCGGCTGGTCAGCTCACTCCCTCATGGCATGGCACTAATGAGGTCAGGACCACAAGTCCGCCCCCACACGCACCTCAGAGCTCCACACTGCGCTGAAAAAAACCCACTATTCCACAGACCATGGGGTCAAAGAAATCGTTTTCACATGTGAAGCACAGGATTTCTGAGATGCAAGGGATTTTATGGATACAGTCCATTTCATTTTATGGATTAGGAAACTTGGGGTCCTAAGAGGAGACAACTTGCCTGAAGCCACAGGGCCAGGACAGAAATCACAACCGAAGAGCCAGGACTCTCCAGCTCCTACTTTTATTATGGCCGGTGTCAGTCACCCACCCTCCTGTCCTACTCTAACCCCCGCTACTCCCCAGCAGGAACAGCCTGGATCCGGAAGTAAGTCACGTGCAATGCCAATGGTTTTGCTGATCTAAGGCTTTATTCACAATGCCCTCCTCAAATTCTTTTTCTCTCATTCCTTCCCTCCTCTCTATCCCTGAATTGTCTCCAATAAATGCCCACTCCACGCCACAGCCTTCCCACTAGCTGCAGCCTTTACAGAGTTTTCCCCTTGACTCCTATAGCTTTATCATGATCTTAGCTAACCTTTATCCGCTACTTACCACGTTGCAGGCACTGTTCCAAGCACCTTGCTTATATTAACTCATTTAATCCCCAGAACAACTTACGAGGTAGATATCATTATTTTCCCCTTTTAAAAGAGGAGAAAAGAGACACAGAGACATAACACAGCCTGCCCATAGTTACATAGCTAGAGAAGGATAAATCAGGATTCAAAACATCCTATTCATACTTGTTTGGGCTCATAGTCATTGTCGAACTGCACCATATAAATTCCCAGAGAGCATTGGGGGGGGGGGTGTGCCTTAAACTACTTTTGTATCCTTTTCAAATGCTTGAAACCCATACTTAGGTCAAATATTGGAACCTCTTGGCTCCCACAGTCACACTCATTCTTAACCCTGGGTCACTCTCAATTCCTACTTAGGGGACAAAGAATATTCCAAGAATTGCTTCCCAAGTGTCCATCAAAAGATAAATGGAAACAGAAGTTGATATATATAAAAAACTATATATAGATCTATCTATAACTATAGACCTATATATAGTTATATATATATAGTTATATCTATAGATATACTTATATACATCTATAGAGTTATAGTTATTTATAGTTATATATATGTTATATACATATAATGTAATATTACTCAGCCATAACAAAGAATGATAGCTTGCCATTTGCAATAACACAGATGGACCCAGAGGGCTTAATGCTAAGTGAGATTAAGTCAGACAGAAAAAGGCAAACACCATATGATTTCACTCATATGTACAATCTAAATAAACAGCAGAAACAAACCCACAAATATAGAGAACAAACTGATGGTTGCCGGAGGGGAGGAGAATGGGGGAATGGGCAAAATGGAGGAAAGGCACAGCATAGGAAACATTGCCAGTAGCACTGTACGGTGACAGACAGTAGCTGCACTTACGGCGAGCACAGTGTAACATGGAGACTCATCCAATCACTATGATGTACACCTGAAACTAGTGTTAACAATGCATGTCAACTATACTTCAACTGAAAAAAAAAATACGCAAGAAGTGACTGATGATGCTGACGATTCTTGTGACCAGACTGCACAAGCTGGGTTCTTCCACAGGTCACACTATCCAAGGCTAAGTTCTCTGCCTTTGCTTCCAGATCCTGTTTCTTCCTGCCTTCTCCACCCTGGTCCCTCAGTGATCCCAGCTCCCCCTCCCATTCTCAATCTTCACATTTCCTCTTCTGCTTCTGTATCGTCTCCCTTTATATCTTCTTCCCTGCTCTCTCTCCATTTGGTTTAAGTGATCTTCATTCTATGTTACCTTGGTTCTATCCACAACTACAGTCTCTTGTCTCAGGGCTAGCCTTCTGCAGTTTCTCTGCCGCACTCTTTTAGGGATCTCATCTACTCAACATAACCTTACCTGGGTGATTTTCAGATTTCAAGCACCAGTCCCAATTGTTCTCCTGACCCCCACAACTGCCTGTCACACTTCAAAATTAAAGCATATAAAACCACTCATCTCTTTACTTCCCAAACTGATTCCTTCTCTTGGCTTTCTTAATTCTGTGATGAGAACCATCATTTTTAAAAGAGCAAAACAAGGGGGGTGGGGGGCTGAGTGGCTCAGTTAGTTAAGCATCTGAGTCTTGATCTCAGCTCAGGTCATGATCTCACTGAGGGTTTGTGAAATCAAGCCCTGCGTTGGGCTCTGCGCTGACAGTGAGAACACTGCCTGGGATTCTCTCTCTCTCTCTCTCTCTCTGCCCTTCTTCCACTTGGTGCACACTTTCTTCTCTCTCTAAATAAAAAAAAATTAAAAAATGTTTATAAAAACAAAACAAAACCAACCAAACAAAAAGAACCATCATTTTCCCAGCCATCTAGCATGGAATTTGTCACCTTTGCTGTCCTATCAGTCACCAGCCTTACTAATCCTTCTTTCTTCTGAGTTTCCACTTTTAGCAGCATCACCCTCACCCAGGCCCTATGATGACAGCCTCCGCCTGTACACCAGTCCTAAGTCCACCAGGCACATCTCTGCTGCCATTATGTCATTTCCCTCCCTCAGACCTACCGGAGTTACAGGGGACAATCCAAACCTCTGCCAGTCCACTGCCATTCAAGCTCTTCTACAACCTTACACTTCTCAAACATTCCTTTTACTGCCTCCCTGCAAGATCATCTACTCTGGTAATGGTTTTGTTTTGAATTTCTAGGTTTTTTGTTTTGTTTTTTTTAAGATAGAACATAATAAAGTATATAGACCTCTAGTGCATGGATTGGTTATTTTGTACATATGTATATACCTGTGTAACCACCACTCAGATGAAGTTATAGAAGATTGATTCTAGCATCCCAGACAGCTCTCTTGAGCTCCCTTGTCAATAACCACCATCACCACTCACTCTCAGTAAAGGCTGTTCTGACATCTATCTCCATAGATTAGTCTGGCCTATTCCTGAACTTCATGAGTAGAATATAAAACACTCTTCAGGGTCTGGCTTCTTTCACTGAACATTATTTCTGTGAAATTTATCCTTGTTGTGTGTGTACCAGTGGTTCATTCTTTTTATTGCTGGGTAGTATTCCACGTATGAACACAGCATGGTTTATTTATCCATTTTACCTTGACAGACATTTAGGTTGTTTATTGGTTTAGGTTATTACGGACAAAAGCTGCTAAGGATGATTTTGTGCAGGTCTTCTGGTGGCCATATGTGTTCTTCTCTTTTTAGCATATAAACAGGAGTGGAATGCTGGGGTCAGAAGAGGACATATGTTTGTCTAGCTTTGGTGATACTCCCATTAGAAATGTAAGAGAATGGGGCGCCTGGGTGGCTCAGTTGTTTAAGCGTCGGACTTTGGCTTAGGTCATGATTTCACAGTTCACGAGTTAGAGCCTGGCATCGGGCTCTGTGCTGACAGCTCGGCGCCTGGATCCTGTTTCGGATTCTCTGTCTCCCTCTCTCTCTGCCCTCCTTTGTTTGCGCTCGCTTTCTCCCCTTCTCGAAAATAAAGTAAAAATTTTTTTAATTTAAAA